AGCTCCGTCCAGCGAGCCCGGCGGCCTTCATCCCTTGCTGCTTCTTCCCCCCAAAGCGGACCCTGCCCCTCGGCCCGCGGGGGATGGCCGGCGAGGAGCAGAAGGGGGCCACCCCGAGCAGGACGGGCACGCCAAGCAGGTGCCCGCGCGCCCTGGCGTTTCCTTCCAGGGGCTGGTGGACATCCCGGGGGTAGGCCCGCGGAGGGGAGTAGGCCGGCCTGCCGGGTTCAGGGGTGGGCTTCGGGGCTGGGAGGCTTCTGGGCGGGACGGAGGGCCTGCCGGGGGGCAAACAGTCAGGCGGAGCCTGGCACCCCCTTTGCCGACTATGGCGACAAGGCAGCGGAAGGGCGAGGCGCGTTCTGCCAACCCCGGAGACCCTCCCGCCGTTTTGGAGAAGAGGGAGGGGAGCGGCTTAGGAGTGGAAAAAGCCTGCAGCCAGGAGAAGTGTTTATAGCACAACCACGCTGTGTGTGTGTGTGTCGGTCCTTTTAAAGGCCTGGCCCTCTTCACAGGCTGGGAGGGAGGGTTGCCTGCCTGCCTGCCAGCGGGTGCCGCACAGATGCAGAGCGGGGTCCCTGCCTGCTTGAGAGGCAGAGCGCTGGAAGGGAAATTCAAAAGTTTTGCGTGCCTGGTAGTTTACTAACAGAACATGGCCGGGGGTGGCAGGGCGGGGGTACACTTAAAAGAGAGATCCTGCAAAAGAGCACAAGACGTTCTGCTCCCAAGAATCCTGAAAAATCTTTGGCGTGTGCCTGGGAGATTGTTACTAACAAACAGGCATCGAGCACGTGCTGAGATGAGCGACTTCCTGCTCAAGGAAGGGCTGCGGACTTGAAGGAAATTTCTGATGTCTGCCGGGTTGGGTTCGGCTAAACCTGTTTCATGCACAGAAAAAGGTCTTGGGTTGTGTAATGGAGCTGAAGGTCAAAACCATTCAGGACTTAGAAACGGCTGTACCGAGAATGGCTTTGTCTCCCCCAACCCCATAATGCAATGTCTTACTTTACAGTAGTTTCTTTGAAAATACATTAGATCTTGGATCTCAGCACTTCCTCATCTGTCAGTGTGCTGCCTCTGTTTCGATTATATTCTTTTTTAACTTGGGGGGGATAGGAAGTATAGGGCTGCTCCAGCAGATTTAGTAAGGATAGAAGAATAGCGGCCCCAAGATGGAGGCTTGTAAGTGGTCTTGTATCTTTTGCACCCTAACATGTAGGTTTATGGTTAGCGGAAGACATTTATCGTCACCAAACCTTCTCCTTTTAAGATGAGAGAGCAGAGAAGATGATGTACCTGTGTGATATATTTGATTTTCCTCTTCCTCTCTCTTAGATGCGTATAAGTAAACTAGAGCTGTGAACCTGGGGGAAATCTCACAAGGTTCTGTCCTATCAGAGTATTGCAAGTAGGACACTGCAAACTTCCAAGCTGTTTTTTATTGGTTTACTGTTTTCATTCTCCATTTTACTGAAGATAAGAGCACATGGCTGTGGAAAAGGCAGAAAGTTGTCCTTCGAGGACCCTAATAATGAAAGCAGACATGACGTAGGTGTGCATAAAACCCCAGAATAATCTGAATGTTGCTGCTTCATAATCATGGTAATTTCTATAATGCATTCTGAACTGACCTCAAAAGCCATTCTGGGCTGAAATCCGCTTTTTAATCAATCTGCCTAAGCCTTCCCTTGCGTTAATTAAAAAGAAGCAGAGGAAGAGGTCTAGCTTTATTTCATTGTAACAAAAAATGCCCCAAAGACTGACTTATCTCTGCACTCTAGCTGGTTGTTTGGATTTGGAGAACGTTTCTCAAGAGATTTTGACTACAAGGAATTCCTTCTCCAGTTATATATTGGTGCTCAGGTAACATGCAGGAACACAGAATATTGGATAAAGAAACAGGATGTATAAGCCTTGCCATTGATACAGGGAGCATCTGTTCCTGCAGATGTTTTGCATAAAGTGAAATATAGCTCTAATGATAATGGAAGGTTGCTTACTTCAGTTTAAAAGTGAGGTTTTTTTAAAAATTGCATCAGAACGTCTTTGGTTTTAATATGTGGGAATTGCATTTTGTCAGGTACTGTTTGATGCACTGAATCATGGCTTAGCCATGTTAAAAATAATTAAAATTTACTAAACAGTTCTGAACAGGCCCTACATTGCAAGTATTTGGATTCTTTGCAGAGGATGTTCACATTGGAGTCACAATCAAAGATTGAATCTTTGCAAGCTTACTTACCTCTTTCATTAAAATATGGATGTATCTGTAATCACACACCCCAGTGCTATATGTGCACACTTGTGCGATGCAGCTTTTCTTGTGGGCTTAGTTGATCAGAAGTTAACTGTATTGTGAAATGTAATATGTATTTAATGGAAACACAGTTCCTAGCCCAAAGTTGGGAGCAGATTGTAATGATGTGCGGTGTCCAGCCAGTGCATTTTCCTGCAGGATGTTGAGTTCCAGATTAAGTAAGACGGGTTGGCAATGCTACAAGTAGAAATAGCTTTTGAAACTTATTTGACTGGCAGGACTAGAAAATATATGGTGGTTCTTTCCTGTATTGTTTAGTAAAGGAGGAAAGGTGTGGCAGGGAGGAAAGCAAATGTCAAAAACACTCTGGTTATTAAGGTTTGGTCCAGTGAACCTTGTCGGCCTATATTTTAAAGCCATGTGCGTAAATCTCCCTTTGTATAAGTAATTCTTTTTATGAAGTCAAAAATTGTGGCCTACCCAGCCCCCAACTTGCTCTGCTGACCATCCCTGGATCACTAGATTCTTTCCCAGCATGAGTTTTTCTTAAATGCTATTTGTATTGCATATGAATGGAGAAAACTTGCATTGTGCAGACTGCCTGCAACAAATTGGCTGTCCCTTTGTCTCAAAGAGTTAAATCATTTTAAAAGATGCAAATGCCACACCCTGAGATTTTTGAACAGGAAATGCTGAGAGTGAAGCCCTGGGCCACTGGTTTACAGCTTCGAATTGGGGAGAAAGCCCAGGTGACCAGTCTTGCTTCTTATGTGGCTGATCTCTGCAGGGACGCATAATGTGTTATATCTGACCTCGCCTTGCCTTTTATTTTCTGTTTAGATTGGAGACGATGAACAAGGTTATGACCTGGACTTGTTCTGCATACCCAAACATTATGCAGATGATTTGGAAAAAGTCTACATTCCACATGGACTTATTATGGACAGGTTTGTTTGACTTGCAGATAGATTCCCTGCAAGCCTCTACAAGCTTGCTTTAAGGAACTTCCCACTATGAAGGGTTATACAGTTCATTCCTCTTAAACTGAAGGCGTATAAATTCAGTCCCTGAACAGTAGTGGAACATAAGTAAGAAACATCACCTGCGTAGGGCAACATTCTCTGAAATGAGCACACTTCCTGCTAGGGTGGGCTCTAGCTCACCATATTTCTATCAGATCCATGATAAGAAAAGGCCAGTCATTCATCTGCCTCTCCACCACAAATGGCAAGCATTATACATTTAACAATGTCCCCAGTATTCATCTTTATTAATCTTAATCTTTCTGTATCATTTCTAAGCAGATGCCTAGCAATCTGGACATATAATACAGCTTCTACAACTGCATAGCCATTTTTCTCATAAAGAACATTTTCCTTACTAAAGTGTGCGACCAAATGTGGGATCAGACGATGAATATTCTTCCTTAGATAGTGTGTAATGTAAATGAAGAAATAGTGTGTAATGTAAATGAAGTGGGTATGTAAAGTAACGTACATAGAAAGCTTACTGTGTTGGCCTGCTTTTCTGCCATATCTTGAAAGCGTGGCTCTTCAGCTTGAAAGCCCTTCACGGCCTTGATTGTGAATTTCTGGAATGCCCTTTTGGGCCTCAGTAATCGAGTTCAGGCTCTTGCAAAACTGAATTAAGTTTCCTTTCCAAAACCTCGGGTGCCTGATATCTTTCGCAGGTTGTCCAGTAACTATCTGGAGGCCGAGATTTGCTTTGGCACAAGCTGCCCTAGAAAATCAAGGGAGTTTGGCAGCACTACTATTAGATTAACCTTGACAAGTGAGAAAAAGCAGAAATGTCACTGACCAGTAAATAGCCATATTCACTGTCAAATGGGAAGTAAATACTCTTTGGGGCAAAGAAGCCCTGTTTGTTTTATCTTGGGATGTTTGTTTCCTAAAATTGGGTTGAAGCCACTGGATTACCTGGGTGTAAATCTCAAATTTTCTTTTTCTGCAGGACAGAGAGGTTAGCACGGGAAATTATGAAAGGCATGGGGGGCCATCACATTGTTGCTCTCTGTGTGCTCAAGGGAGGCTACAAATTTTTTGCCGATTTACTGGATTATATTAAAGCCCTGAATCGAAACAGCGACAAGTCCATTCCGATGACCGTCGACTTCATCCGACTGAAGAGCTACTGTGTAAGTTTGTGTGTTGGAGCACACTTTTGAACTTGGCTTGTTGTCGGCTAGAATTTGGGGGCAGAAGTCCTACTCAGGTCGTCTCTTGGTGCCAAAGAATCTGAAACAGGAAAGAAAGGCTGTGCAGTATTTGGAAACAATTTGTGCTCCTTCTGTCTTCTTCAAATCTTGGTGCAAATGTGCAGTCTTGGAGTAGTGTCCTAGGGGAGCAGGATGGACGATGATTGGTTGTTTGCTTCAGAGCTTAATTCAGCAAGGAAAAGGGAGCATCTCAGGTTGGGCTGAGAAAGAACCTCAACAGAAGGATAAAGACAATGTCTCTCTGTGAGCATTCATAGCTTGTCTTCCCAAAAGTAGTTTGGAAAAGTTGGTTTCAAGTTATGGCTTCAACATAAGGTCCTAGGAGTCCTACAAATAGCTCAGGGCATTTCTGTAGTAAAAGGCCGGTTTGTCAGTTGAGTCATGCTTAAATCCTTTTCTTTAAAGGACTCAAACATTTGGGACTAAAGGGTCCAGTGAGTTGAATGAAGGTTCAGAATTAAAGCCCCCCAACTTTCTTTGTGAGGTCATCTCTAGGGTGTGCCATCGCTCTTTCAGAGATGCGTTTTACCACAACTAAACAGGAGCATGATAGCTACAGTTTCCCCACATTGTGAGCTTCAGAAATGCTCTCACCTAATAAAAACCATGGAGGGCAGGATCTTAACTGTTCACTTTAGCTAACAATTAGAACTATATAAAAGAATGTTAATAGATAGAGGATGTAAGTTAGATTTGGTTCAAGGAGGATAATTGTACTCTGAAAATACCTGTGGTTGGTTTCTGTTCATTTTACAGAAAAGGTTTGCATTTACTTAAAATGAGAGAAAATTGTGTTAGATGTGTTCAATATAATGTTACCATTGTGGAAAAAAAAGACATCTTTAAGGCAATTTAAGTTAAATTGTTTACAGAGTATGGCACTGAGTGATTTTATATCTTTTAAAGGTTTTTTTTTCTTCATTTTTCATGGTTAGTGGGTAGATTTCAAACGTAATTATGTAACATTACAACAAATGTAACAAGTTCCTGATTGGCAAAGTATGGATATCTGCACGATATAGGTAGTCCTTGCTTAGCAACTGCCTCATTTAGCTACCGTTTGACGTTACGATGGTGTTTAAAAAAAAAACAGATTTGCAACCAGTCCTCGCACTTACAACCATCGTAGCATATCCTGTGGTCACATGATTCTCATTCGCGTGCTTTGCAACTGGCTTCCTACAAGCAGAGGTAATGAAGAACGCAGAAGTGAAATCACAAGTTGCAGTCATGTGATGTCTCACTTAACGGCCATGGTGATTCGCTTAACAACCAAATGGGAAGTCATGTAAGCCTGTTGCGGTCACATGCTTTTCTGCTTAGTGACCATGGTGCTTAGCGACAGAGTTGCCAGTCCCAATTGTCGCTAACTGAGGACTACCTGTATTGTTCTGTTCCTTAGAACTCTGTGCTTGCTAGTGATACACAAATGGGTGCGTGGGATGAAGTCATTCAAGTTCTTTCCAGATAGCGGGTATATTTTCACATTGTGTGGTATGCATTTTCTAATATCTGCTATCCTTTCTGGCAAGCTTCCCCCATCCGTCCATCCATCCAGTTTTCTTGAATCAATGCCATTGTAAAAAAAAAAAAAGCATTTTAGGAAACAGGAAGCTGCGTCTCTAAATAGGCGGCTCTATTCATTGTGCACAGAAGCAGTGTTTCATATTTTGGCCAGTTCATTTTTTGAGAAATGTTTGCTGCAGTCTGTATACATTTTCCTGGGCATAAACCCCATTTAAATCAGTGGGGCTTACTTTGGAGTATATGTGCATTAGGCCTACAGGATTAGGCAAGGTGGAGAGAAAAAACCTTGTTTGCCAGATGCATCACTGTGCTTATTTGAGTCGCAGCTAAGAAAACATTACTTTTCCTCTGCAGTGAGGGAGATGAAGCCACAGGCTTGCTAATGTTTGAAAAGCTTCATTTTCAAAAAGGGTAATGGTTTGTTTTTCCTTTTCTGGAGGTTTCTGTAATATTAATAACAACTTTGCTCTTTTTTCCTGCCTAAAATTAGAATGACCAGTCAACTGGCGATATAAAAGTAATTGGTGGAGATGACTTGTCAACCTTGACTGGGAAGGTATGTCCTACAAGAAGAAATATAGAATATAGATACAGAGGCTTCTGGAAAATAGTGATGTACAGTGCTGCACTTTGTTCATCAGTGAAATTTACTCAAAATGAAATGCAACTAAGGTGAAAGTGTTTCATTAAAAAGCACCATGCGTAGCATTGCAAAGTCTCCCTTGCATACTGGCTTTGTCAGAGAGCATTGCTGGCTGATCGTGTGGGTTCTTTCTGCTCCAGTAAATTTTGCATTTGCAAGTATACAGTGTCTCTGGAGTGGGGAGCAAGGTATACATTTTTATAAAAACATAAATAATGTTCTTGTTCCTTTAGGAAAGAAGTAGATGAAATTAGAAAATTTAAATCCATGAACTCTTTTAAGCAAGGGGTACCTGTGTTGATCACAACACTGTTGCTTTGAATACCAGACCCTGGGGTGAAAAAGAAACAGAAATTACTTCAAGCGGGTTTTGCCAACACCTTCCAGATGTCTCAAGTGCTCCCTTTTCTGCATTCGACTGGAGAGTTCCTTGTTTTTAAAAGTTGTTCTATAGATGTATGTTCAACAACATTTGTTAGTTTTGAGCATGAGAAAGTACTTAAGCCACTTCAAAAATACCAGCTAACTAAAAGCACTTTGGTGTTCTTCCTAAGGCATTTAATTCAATGTCTGTCTTAGTTTTAATTGTTACTACTTTGTGGTTAGAATTTTATGTTTGAACTTACCTGTTTAAGTCCCAAAGAATGTGCTAATGAGCTCTTAATAACTTGAATAATTTAAACGCAAAGTACAATTTGTAGCCATTCTCTCCTGGCTTGTTGTATAGATGGGGCATTTCCCTATAATTACATGCTAGTTAAATAGAAAAATATTGGACTGAAAAACAGTAGTCCTGAAAAAGTTTGGAAAAATAGAAGTTGGAGCCCAGCATTGAATTAAAATTGCTGATGGAGTTCTGTTTTTTTCTTTTTCAGAACGTCTTGATTGTAGAAGTAAGTACCACAGTTGGCATGTATTACTTTAATATGCATGATTTGGGGCAGCGTTGCCTTGAGTTTCGCCGCCTCCTTGCAAGGTCAGAGTAAGCAGTCTGGATCAGAACCTTCTTCCTGGAAAAAGTTGCCGCAGTGGCAAATTTCAAGGCAACTTCGAACTTATCCGTTTATTTTCTTTCTTCCTAAATGGGTAATGAGGAATACTGTTGAAGTGGATTTATGAAATATCATTGTGGCCAAATGCACGTTCATAATTCACCTCAAAGTTTGCTTGCCTTTGTAGAAAGCCCTATAAAGATATTTGGTCAAGTTTTAATAATGTATTTTAGGCCCCGAAGCTATCTTGTGTATAGACACCTTCTCTTCATTGTGTCCATTCGCAGAGATGATGTGCACCGGTGCAGCCTTAGTTGTATTCCGGCCAGTTACTCATCTGGATGAGATTCCTCGCCGTGGTTTTCCTTCCCAAGCTGGCCTGATCTATTCCTTTGTTTACCCCTCAGGATATAATCGACACAGGCAAGACGATGAAGACGCTGCTCTCTCTGCTCCAGCAGTACCATCCAAAGATGGTAAAAGTGGCCAGGTCTGAGCTCACTCTCCGCTATGTCCATGTCGCTTCTGGAAGACCTCAGGCAGAGTGAAAGAAGCAGCCCGAAGTGGTGCAGCTTCAGGGGAAATCTTTAAGTTGACACATCCAAGGCAGAGGGTGTAGCTTCTTGCTCCGTAGTGTGCTCCAAGGATCTCAGGCGTTTCCTTTATGAAAAAATATGGGCTTGCTGTCAGAAGCCACATGGACTCATTTATGTGCCTTAGCGAACCAGTATTTAATAACACAGAGAAGATTTGGGGGGAAGTATCTGCACAGTGTCCATCACACGCAGCTCTCAGAAGGACCGTATTTCATATTTATGATCACTGCAGCTTCAATGTTCTCCCTGCAACGGCTCTCGTACCCAACTCAGTAGCTGCTATAAATTATAATTATTTATGAGCTGTATCAGGACCATTCCGCCTCCTTAAAACAACTTCTTTGCTGGCTTTGCTGTAATTGACTTCTAAAGTAGTTTGTCTTGTGGGGCTGTTGAGCTGAAGGCAAGGTAGTAACTTTAGAGGGGCTTAGTTCTTTACGTTTTCTGGCCATTCCCCAAAGGTCTGTGATTTTGAGAAAGCCACAAAATCATGAGTGGGGCTAACGTGTCGTTAAAAACGCTGCTTGCTTCTTCGGCAGTCTGGAATAACTGTCCAGTCTCTGCCCACGTGAAGGGAGATCAGAGGGAACTTTGTTCAGGATGCTGAGGAGCTGCCTGGATCAGGGGACAGGAGACAGTGCGCCAGTGGGGTCTGTTTCCCAGTGTGCTGTGTTCTGCCTCTGAAGCAGGCTGTCTTACCAGGTACTCGCATTTTGGCTTGGGTTTCCTCTGTGAGCCAGCAAGCTGATCGGCATGTTTGGTTCACTACATTTCGCAAGAAGGGTGCAACTGGTGATCCAAGCCAGAGACGGAATGGTTGACAAAGCTGCTCGCTGCCGGTTTCTGTTGCCCATAACAGGCTGCTCAAGCCACCCTGCCTGGTCATGCTTTGACCTTGGGCAGGCGAGGCTGATAGCAGACGAGCAGTCGCTGAACCGGCTTCTGCACAGTAGAGATAACCCCCCCCGCCCCTCCCCGGCTCTTTGTAGTAGGCTTGTGGGAGAAAAGTGCATCAGGCAGCGCGGGTGGACCACTTACTCTTTCCTGCTGCCCAAGTTCACAGCAAGGCAGAGGCTTGTGTGGGGAGGAAGTGGAGCCCTGCAGCTGCAGCGTTTCCCCTCTCTCCTGCTCTGCTTCAGGAGGCAGAGTGGTCGTTCAGCTCTCCCTCGGCTCCTCGTCCGCCCTGAGCCATGGAGCGGCCTAGAAGTGTGCATCTGAAACTCAGAATTGCAGGAAGAACTATCCCTCTGGATCTCAGTTTGGTGTGTGTGCTGGGTTGTACCAACGGGGAAGGACAGAACATAACCCTTAGCTAGCGTGGAATGTATGGATGGTATATAAATTTCGCTCGCCGTTGAATTTTGTTTGCTGTATTTTTTGACAGCTTGTTGGTGAAAAGAACACCTCGAAGCGTAGGATACCGGCCTGATTGTAAGTGAATCTTGTGTGCACATAGTGTAATCTTAAGTGTAATTTTATATGCATGGGTATAAGAGAAGGCTGTTGAACCAGAGAGCAGAGGGCTGAAACTGGTCAATGAAAGGAGGATCCTGTGGCAGAGGATGCAGCTGGCTTCAAAGTGCAGCTTTGCTGTGCTTTGAAAAATCCAGTTGTTGGCTGTGTTTTTAAGCAAAAATAAGTCAAAGGAGCTAACAGGGTAAGCCAATGCTCAGTGCCCCTCTGTTTAATGACATTTACCCCTTAGTGACCGTGTTTTAGGATATCAGCTTAACAACATGGGGGCAAACGTGATTTTGCAGTGTGTGTGTTACACTAATTTTGGGGAGCTCTTCCACTGCCGCCTCTGATAGAACTTTTAGTTACATTAGGAAATGCTAGCGGTTTTATTTGATGATTTATAATAGCAAATAAAGTTGGTTCTATTTTTTAAAAAATGTCCATACTGTTTTACTGCAGCATTCTCAACTAAGCGCTCCAGTTACCCAAATAATGGTATCATCATTAACATTATTAGCATGGTTGTCCCAACATTGCCTAACCCTCTGCTTAATTCCGGTTCTTTTCAGTTGTTGGTTTTGAAGTGCCGGACAAATTTGTGGTTGGATATGCTCTAGATTATAATGAATACTTCAGAGATTTGAATGTAAGTAATTAACACAGATAATCTTGTTCAAAGAGTTTCAGCACACCCTTTCTCTGATTCATTTAGTGATAGGAAGGGGTCAGAACAAAACAGGAACTGATTCTGTTCTTGGGCAACGTTGATGGGAAAGTCCAGAGTCCACTGGCCACTCACATGCCCCTTAAGCCACCTTTATCAGTCTGGTGCCCGTTTTAATTCTGGCTTCCCATAGTTCGGTATGGTACAAACTGACAGGCGATGTTTGTAAAACATGAGGCAGCTTCTTGGCAAAGAAGCTCGGATTTTTAAAAATTGTATATTAAAATGGAAGCGCGGGTAGTTTATTTTGAATGTTGCAGCTCTGAAACATCACTGGTGTTTGCATTTCCTGCACACCAGAAGTAGGCTTCCGATAAAAGGATCAGCAAAAGGTTGCTATTAATTCAGAAGTATTTTATTTCTTGTGTTTCAGCACATCTGCGTGATAAGTGAGACAGGGAAACAGAAATACAAGGCGTGATAATGCTGGTTTCATCAAACAGCAGCAAGATCTTGAAGCTGACATCTAGCATCTGCCTTCCAACTGCCTTTTGGCCCCAATCACCAGCTTCAGATTGTGGAGTAATCAAACGCTCTTGTTGTATTGCTTGCTATAACTTATTGCATGTACAGTATGGGAAACTCATCTTGTTCATTTACATTTGGAAAACTAAGAAAGTTCATTTTCCCTTTTTTTAAATTTGCACTATGCATCTTCTCATTCTAGCTCCTCCCGTAAGATGACCAATTTCTCTCCCCCGCCCCTTTTAAACTTCATCAGCCCCTGAAATAGTTATAAGTACTGTAAATGTATAAGGCATTTTAAGATGGGAAATCTATATTAGTAATATTTTTTAAAAAAACAAGTAATTTAAGTTTTATATTGTAATGGAATGTAATTGAGATGGGGGGGGAATGATCGGGTCGCTGCTCCAGGGGTTGGTGCTACGAAAGAGGCACGAGGAGCAACCGTGGACGGTTGTGGTCTTCTTGAAGGAGTTTTGATGCTGTTCTGCTAAGCTGCTTGTTGGAGTTGCTTTAGTTACCTCTTGCAGAGTTAAAGAAAAGAGTCTACTTGGGTCTAGGGAAAAAAAGTGACAAAATCAGATGTTCAGGGTTTCTGTCTCCAGGAAGAAGCGTGGCATTGTCCACTGGCAATCCTTTGGCTAAAAACTGATCAAAAGGAAGTGGAAGAGCCGGTTCATACAGCTGATAATGCACAAGCTCCCCACGGCTTGTGTCTCCGTAGTTCTTTTCTTCCTCCATCAGCTGAGTTGAGTTGCCTTTTGGATCCAACCATTGTCTTTGTATTTTATGTCAGTGAAAAATGATTGTAATGCTGACCGTACGAGGTGCACAAAACGGATGTACTTTAAAATAAAAGCTGTTTCTCCAAAGAGAGTGCCCAGGCAGCTGAGCTGGCTCCACCTTATACTTAAAGCCATCACCAGCTGTTGCCTCTTCTTTGACTAAATTTCCCCATGCTAGACCCAGACCAAGACTGCTTCAATTTCAGGGAAGAATTCTGACCTGTTTTGGGCCACGGGGAGGGGAGTGGCATTTGGGCCTGTTGGGAAGATGCTCTTGGGTTCTGGCAAAGTCAGTTAGCAGTAGATAATTACTCTGAAGAGCCCATGTGTGGGTTGAGGCAGCTGTGCAGAATGTTCTCCTGCTCTTTCCATCTACCTCTCGGTTGACCGCCCTGGGTGTTTCAGGGGCTGGGTCCTTCACATCCGAGGTCTTGTCACAGGATTGTGGCCAATTCTGATGCTTCTAAGAAATTATAAGCGCCTGGTGTGCACTTAATGTTTTAGGGCCACTTTCGCTTCCATTTAGTCCTTCAGGAAGGAGACACCAATTGCCCTCTCCCGCCCCAGTTCAGGATGGTTGTTTTAAGATCCCGTCAACGGCCTTTGTTTTATGGGCAGCATTGCCCTCTACTGAACAAGCTGCTGGCTGCCGAAGGGTGACCTCTGCTGTTCCTTGTGCTGGGAGCACATTTTCAGTAGCAGCACATCGAAAGGGCTGCCTCCAATGCAGTTCACTTGCCAGGGAAGCCAGGTGGGTGCTAGGCATGGGCATGCCACAGAGAAAAGTTGGGTAGTCTTCTAGTGAATCCAGCGACGCCCCATCGTGTACATTTGCTGTTCGCCCAACTTGCCTTGTTGCTTGGAGTGGGGAGAACTCATACTTGTGTTAAACCACAATGTGGTTTGTTTTGGGCCTAATGTGATGTGTGGCGTAGTATCACATGAGAGCCAGGCCATGATTTGCTCCCCAAACCATGGTTAAGAATCTATCTTACAGAAATGGCTACAGAAAAAAACATGCAGCCTCCTTGTTTCTCCTTAGGAAAGGGTAAGGGAGTGAGATCAGGAGCAGCTGGATGGAACTTCCGGCATTTAAGGTTCAGGTGTGGTTTGCGCAAGGTGCTAGATTATGGTTTATTGAAACAGACTTTCTTTATTGACTAAACCACATGGGTTTGTACAAGCTAAGCTATGAAACATGGTTTGCAAATCAATGAATAGTTTCACACATTGTGCTAAGTCAAAAACATAACGACTAGGTGACTGGATCCAGCCTTTGTGCTGCAGGAAAAAAGGATGTTCTGCATACCTGGTGGTTCCATATTTTACAATTTGGGGTTGCGTGTGTTTGTCAGCGGCAATGTGCATATTTCTAATGACTCTCATGCTGCTATCAGCATCGTTAGACTGAAAATAACCACAGGGGCCTGCCTCTTCTCCAATATACATATGCACACCCCCCCACCCCAGGAGCTACAGTACAGAAAAGAGGTGTTTAACCTCGTTGGGAGCAAATTGCACTCTGAACCCAAGAAAGTGCTCCGATTCCATACCACCGGGACGCTGAAATTCTAAAACTAGTTTGCCGGCCAAGCTCACTTCGCACTGATTCGGAGAGGACCAGGCAGGCGTGTTGTACCCTGCGGAGCCGGCTGGTTTGTGGCTTTCGCGTGCAGGTGGGCGCGTGCAGGTGGGCGTCCCACGCAGACTGTTTTTTCAAAAAAAGAAAAAGGCAAGAACAGTAATCTGGAAATCCGTTTGCCCACCTCCCGGGAGTTACCCCTAGATCAGAGGCTCTGGGTTTCCCCGCAAGCCTTCCGGGGCGTCAAGCGTCGCCCGGCCCTCGGGCAAGAACAGACGACACCGCGAGGAACCCGCAGAGGAGGGGGCGAGAGGTCCTTGGCAGCCGCGGGCTCACGCCAGCGACAGAAAGGCGCCCGGGCCAGACCCCGCGGAGCAGATGCCGCTGCTGAAGAGGCGGCTCTCGGCCCCGGAAAGGCTGCCCTCCTCCCGTGAGCGAGCAGCCCCCGAGGAAGCGAACCCGGAGCCGCGGGGCTCCTCTGCTGCGCCCGGTCCCGGCGAAACGGAGGCGGCCGTCCCTCTTCATCCCGAGGGGAGAAGCCGCTGCGGCCTCTCGGAGCCCCAAACGGCGGGGGCCGGGCTCCGGTGCGCGCTGGCCGGAGGCCCCGCCGGGGCGCGGCGCTGTGCCGGGGCCGCCAGGGACCGCGGCGGGAGGGCGGGCGGGCG